CCCGGGAGAAGTCTATGCCATGGCCGCCACCTCCCGCACGCCTTCCGTCCGCCTCGTCCTCACCGGCGAGCATGCCAAGAACGGTGTATCCTACCCTAACCCTACCTGGATAGCTCGCCAAGGACGGCGTCCTCTTCTAGCCCCTCTTATACCCTAACCCTAGCTCGTCTGATGCATCTAGGAGGATAAATTGGCAGATTCTAAACCAAATTTGCCCCCTCTTGGTGACTGCTGTTGATCCCGCAACACTAGTATATTCTTGAGCCTGACATATGTATCTTCTTGGCAAGGTGCTTTTGTGGCCAGTTAACTAGATGAAGAAACATTGGAAAGGAAAGAAAGGAGTTGTGTCAAGCTCAAGTTGAGCCTATGAGATTTCTGGACCTTGTTAATTAATTGGTATTAGTGGCCAGCCGATTGCATGCATACGTGTCCTCACAATATGCGTCCAATATGCTATGTATCAAATATGTCATATACTTGCTAGACTTTTGCATACTTGGTTGGAGTTTGATCCATGTGTTGTTCTTCATGACCGGATAATGTTTCAAATAATCTGTGATGAAACAGGCAAAGCTTGTTCATTAGTTCTTATAGTTGCTCTGTGTACTTATACAACACGGCACATCGGTGTTGTCGCATAGTCTAGGTCTTATTGTAATCTGTAGCCATGTTTTTATGATTAGTATGTTCTAATGCAATTTATGTTGTACACAATTGTCAATTATGCATCTGTTGTGATGTCGCGTACTGTAACCGATGTAATTGTTGAATGATATATGGATGCTGTAAGGACATATTTATCCCTAAGGTGTTTTGGTGATTGATGACAATGCTTTTGCGGACTAATCGTGTGCCTTGAGTTTTTCAGACGTTTCATCACTAAGCACAAGACGGTTTGGTGCCCCTCGAAGACTATTGAAGATTGCATTTTTCTACGTTTCTTTTTGGTGGAATTGAGTCGTAGGAAAGTCGTACTATTAAGAGGGGCGTCCGCGTTGGAAAGGTTCGGGTGGAATCATCACGTACACATTTACTCCCTTTGCACCGCCTTTCCCTTTGCGCTTTGGAGCATCCTCCTTTGTCTTCCTTTTTATGCAAAAAGAAGGATTCCTAGTGTTGCTTTTCTAAGGCATGCGGTAGTACTGCTCCTAGGAGCGGTAGTACCGCAGGACCCTACGGTAGTACCGCAAGCCCTTGTGGTAGTACCGTAGGCGCACACGGTAGTATCGCTCCTAAGGAGCTGTAGTACCGTGGCCTCAGATCAGACTCAACCTCTCGTGCGGCTGTAGGGGCGGATGTAAATTTTTACATCCGCGTCCTACGTGGTAGTACCGCCCCATGCGCGTGGTAGTACCGTGAGTCCTGGTCTGGCACAACAACATGAGCGAAAGTAGGGGCGGATGTAATTTTTTACGTCCGCTCCCTGCGCGGTAGTACCGCATGCCAGGCGCGATAGTACCGTGTCGGATTTTTGCACTCTTTGATTTTCAGCAGAAGTAGGCACGGATGTATTTTTATTCATCCGCGCCCTTCCCAGGCTAGTCCAATCTGGCCTTGCGGTAGTACCGCAAGGGGGAGTGGTAGTACCGCCCTCAGCCTTGGCGGCTCTGGCCTAGACTAGCTCCTGCCTTTGCAGCGGTAGTACCGCGGTCCGCCGCGGTAGTACCGTCAGCCCCTGCGGTAGTACCGCTTGTCTGGAGCGGTAGTACCGCAGGTCGCGGGCTGAGTAAGTGGATAATGGTTGGATTTGTCTCTACACTATATAAGGGGTGTCTTCTTCCTCTAGTTGACCACCTCTTCCATCCCTAAGCTCCATTGTTGCTCCAAGCTCCATTTTCGCCCGATCTCTCTCCCTAGCCAATCAAACTCGTTGATTTGCTCGGGATTGGTTGAGAAGGCCCCGATCTACACTTCCACCAAGAGAAATTCGATTCCCCCACTAATCCCTTGCAGATCTTGTTACTCTTGGGTGTTTGAGCACCCTAGATGGTTGAGGTCACCGCGGAGCCATAGTCCATTGTAGTGAAGCTTCGTGGTGTCGTTGGGAGCCTCCAATTAAGTTGTGGAGATTGCCCCAACCTTATTTGTAAAGGTTCGGTCGCCGCCTTCAAGGGCACCAATAGTGGAATCACGGTATCTCGTATTGTGTGAGGGCGTGAGGAGAATACGGTGGCCCTAGTGGCCTCTTGGGGAGCATTGTGCCTCCACACCGCTCTAACGGAGACGTACTTCCCCTCAAAAGGAAGGAAATTGGTAACACATCCTCGTCTTCACCAGCTCCACTCTTGGTTATCTCGTGCGTTTACTTGTGCAAGCTTATTTGTGTTGTATCCCTTGCTTGCTTGTGTATTTGTTGTTGTTGCATCATATAGGTTGCTCACCTAGTTGCATATCTAGACAACCTACTTTGATGCACAGTTTAATTTGGTAAAGAAAAGCTAAAAATTGTTAGTTGCTTATTCACCCCCCCCCCCTCTAGTCAACTATATCGATCCTTTCAGATGCCATCATTTAGCCCTTTGTCTTTTCATAGTTGCTATTTTACGTAGTTTGGTATTAACCAAATAGTTTCAGTTTTGAGCAAGTATTCAAAGGCGTGGGGTTGGTCTAATCAGAGCTCTATGCATATGTTGTTTACAATTTATTTTCACTCTTGTAGTTTCCATCTTGTCAGTGAATTAAGATTCTAGTTCTGTTTTTAGAATTTGATTAACATGCAATAATTTTAAGTTCTGATTTAACTTCCCCCTTGGTTGAGATTATAAGCATGGCACATACTGACTTTCAAGCTTAGTAGAAGATTTATTTGCATGTGATTTAGCTTTCCTTCCCTTTGCTGGACCTTGTGTCAAGCTCAAGTTGAGCCTGTGAGATTTCCGGACCTTGTTAATTAATTGGTTTAGTGGCCAGCCGATTGCATGCATACGTGTCCTGTTCACCAGCTCCAGACTCCTAGTGCTCTGCTTCTTCCCTTTGCTTAACTGGGATAACTGGAAAGCGAGCCACACAGTCTAGTTTATCTGCTCTCTCGAAACCGCTGCCCCGCTGTGACCTCCTCCCTCCATTATTGGTGTGTTGTGGATGTAGTGGAGGTCTTTACTGCTGTTGTCGTGTGTTTCGAGAGAGCGACTAGTCAATGGTTTATGGGCGATGATCGATATGTTGGTTGCACATGTATAATTGACTGTGTTTACGTAATCTTAGATGATTTTTTGATTCAGATAGTTTTGGCATTTTCCTGAGCTTCTCCACAATGGATATTGCGTAAATAGAATTGGTATGCGTGACTCGGCAATGAAATCCTTATAGGAGCCTTGTAGAAGCATTAGGCAGGTAGAAGAACTACTTGTATTATTGTATAAAACTAAATCTCTGTAATAATGTTACCATGGCTACCAAAGAGTGTTTCTGTGTTCTCTTTGTGATGGCAGTGTGGTGCAAATTGTATTAGTGATGGTGATGGTGATGGTCTGATGTTGTAACTGTTATTCGTATGTGCGGTGAGCCTGTGACCATGGACAACACAAGTTACAAGTCTAATTTCTGTGCACTTTTAGTGAAGCAAATAGTCCTCTAGCTAGCTAGCTAACTTGGTCTTGTATTAATGGTATCACGCAGATTGGTTCTTATTTCTGTCATTCATTTATTATCTAGCTAGCTAGCATTTCCATTGAACTGAATCTATGTAATGGACCTTGCTAACTTGTTCTCCCTCCATGGACCTTGCAGCCTCTTCCATGCTCCACCACCATCAGCCTCCTTAACCCCGACCGAAGAGCTGGCCTTTTCCCCAGTAAGATGTAACTTTTAGTTAATTCTCCGTGAGTGTTGGTGGAACAATGCAGTAGGGATGTTTGTTTCTATAGTATATATGAATGATTGTGTGTCATCTTACATGTTGCTGGTATGTTCTTATTTTGACAGAGGCCTGCTGCTTGGATTCTTGTTGGGGTGGACGAGTTGCCTCCATCATGGGATCCAGTTGTCACGCCTAAATTCGGTAATATAGACCAACTTTTTGGCCTCTTGACCTCATTTCTATCATGTCTTAACCGAAGTACTATATCCTACTTGATGGCTCTTGTAGTCTTACTATGTGGTATGTCTTATTAATAATTTGCTTCGAGTCAAGTAAACCATGAAATGTAGTTCTTATTTGTTGCTTCCTGATTCTAGTTTTAGTGCCGAGATGAACTCCAAGATTATCGATCGAATTAGGAAGAGGAGAAGCAAGGATGATGAAGATATGATGTCCTTTATTCTGCCCGTATTGCATCGAACGCGTAGTAGAGGGCCAATCGAGAGAACTCAGCGACATAGCTCCATCTTATATGGCAAGAAGCGGGTTGATGATATCCTTACAGGGCATGTTAAGAATTACCTAGTAGCTTATAGGATGGAGCCACGTATCTTCCGGGCTTTGGCATCTTACCTTAGAAGAGAAAATCTGATATTGAATAAAAGAATTAAGGTGGAGGAGAAGTTAGCCTTTTTCTTGTACATGGTGTCTCACAACGCATCTTATGAAGATCTTCAGCTAGAATTTCAGCATAGTGGACAAACATTTCATGAGTACATCAATGAGTTCTTCAACATCGTCCCCATTTTAGCTAGTCGATTTTTGAAGCCCCCGAACATTGATGAGCCACATCCAGTAATCTCCACCGACACAAGATTTTATCCTTACTTCCAGGTTTCCATTTTTAATGCTTCCATAATTCCTTTTCTTATCTAACTTATAGTTCTTTATTGACCTGCAATCTTTTCTTCCAGAACTGTTTAGGAGCCATTGATGGGTCACATGTTCCTATAACGGCAACACCTAGAATTGCTGCTCCATTTCGGAATAGGAAGGGTACCTTGAGTCATAATATTATGGTTGCCTGTGACTTCGATCTAAGATTCACTTTCATATCATGTGGTTGGGAGGGTTCAACTACGGATGCGAGGGTTCTTCATTCTGCAATTAGCAAAGGATTTAGAGTACCCGAGGGAAAGTTTTACCTAGTTGATGGGGGTTATGCAAACACTCAGTCATTTCTCGCACCTTATCGGGGTGTCCGGTATCATTTGAAGGAATTTGGTCATGGACATCCTCAACCACAAAACCACAGGGAATAGTTCAATCATCGACATGCTGTTCTACGGAACCATGTGGAAAGGTCTCTAGGAATTCTTAAGAAGCGCTTCCCAATTCTTCATGTTGGCACACTGCATTCAATCGAGAACCAAGTGAAACTTCCCGCAGCTGCCGCAGTTCGTCACAATATCATCAAAATGGAGAATGGTGACGAGACTTGGCTTGACAACCAGCCCGATAACATAGCGCCAAATGTTTTTGTTGATCTCCCGAATGGCGACGAGAATAACTATGGGAACAACGACTTAGGGAACACTCTAAGGGATGAAATAGCAATGCAAATGTGGGAAGCATACCTATGTAGGATTAACAAGGTTGAGAAAGTTGCTTGGTGTAGCCTCTGTTGCCTTGATGTTGCCTGTATACAGCCTCTGTTGGTCTTGATGTAGCTCTAACAAGGCCATGATATAATTCCTTGAAATATACCTGATTGTTGTTGTGCTCTTAATATCATTTACTTGAGACATACCTGATCATTTACTTGTACATAAGTACTCCCTCTGTCAACTGGATCCTCTATTTGTGGGTCTTGGAATTGAAATTGAATGAGAAATATCTGCATTGAATTGAAATGAGATGTAATTTTGTCAACAGTAGCAACATTACCTTGTTTTCTTCAATATCATCAGTTTTTTCTGGTGTCATTAAACCAGGTTGAGAAGTCGAACAAAGCAGAGGAAGAATGGGACGTTTGCAGGGCCCTCGAAATCGTCTGTTTAAGAGTCTCGTCAGTTGCTTTTGTGTCGACGCTATTGTTGTCAGCACGCTTAAATGTACGCATGTCTTATGTATTCTCAGCATGCTTAAATGTACGCTTGTCTTTCCTTGGACTTGTGAATGCCGAAAACGTATGAGATATTTTTGGTTCCAAGTCATGCTGATGTGAGAGATTATGTTGCTGTTATGTGACATTGCAATTATGTGATGATATATTGGTTCCAAGTCAAGCAAATTATGTTGTTCATGTGAAGAACTGTTGCAAGATTAGATTTTTAACTGTTTTACACCATTTTAGTTCAATATGAAAATCCCTCCCAATCAAACAGTGTTCTGTACGGAGGGGGATTTGAGGTATGTGTGGCTGGAGAGGGGGGTTTGAGGTTTCAAGGGGATTGGGTGGAAGAGGGGGATTCACCAAATCCCGTCGTATCCAAACCTTCACATTCCCTTCCTATCAAACAAGGCCGAAGGGGTGAAAGTGCCAATAAGGACAAGCGAGGCCCACAGCCACAACACAGTGGTCAGTGGCACGCGATCAGCAGATTGCCTCGCCTCAGGGCTCAGGCTCAGGCTCAGGCTGTGTTTGGTTGAGCTTTTGAAGCCTACTCCTGGCTTTTGGAAGCTATAAGCTAACCAAAGGGGGGAAAAGAGAAGCAGGATCTGGAGAAGTTACAACTTCCTCGTAGTGTATTTTTCGAAGCAGGTGAACCCCCAACTTCAGCAATGCATTTTTAGCTGTCCCCTGAGAGTTTGATGGTATTTACCCACCTTTGCCACTGGTAAGTGGAAAACGATTCGGTCGATGGACAAGGGCAGCCCACACGAGAGGAGGGCTCATCCAGAAACCTCCTGCTCGATCCCCATCCACCCGAGCGGCAGCTAGGGTTCCTAGCCGCCGCCAGCGCTGCCGCCGCCCCTCCACCGCCGCATGCCAACCCACCGGCGCCGCCTCCTGCGTTCGCCTCCCCGCCGCGACCTCCTTCCTCCTCCATTGCTTGCCGGACCTCCTCCAACCAGCAAGGGCCGCCGCCCTCCACCGCCGGCGACGCCTCCCGCTGCCCCGCTGTGACCTCCTCCCTCCATTCTCCAAAGTAGATGCTCCCCTTTCCTCCCACTCGCCATTCCCCTCCCGCCTCCTGTACAAGTAGAAAGAGGATGTATTTTTTTTTGCTATGTCATATTGTCGCCAATTGATGTTTTAAAGTGGATGAAATTTGGATGCGATGATGCATATTGCTTGTCATATTTTTGTGTATTGATGTGAAGTGGAAGAGATTTTGATAGTATTGCTGCACATTGTTGCATGTCCAGTACACTGGCTGTTTATTGATGAATACTTGCTGCATTTTGTTGTACATTGGATGATTGTGTGCTACGACGGGAAGTAGCACCGACACAAGCGGATCCCGTTGAAGAGGTGGAGAACGATACACCCTATATTTAGGAATGGAGGGAGTATTATTATGGGGTCAATATCTATTTATATGCAATATGCAACATTAAAGTATAATCGTTGAATTCGTATGTGTTAGCTATGAATCATCTAAATTGTCATAATTTTTCTTTGCAAAACGGTCGTTCTATTGCAACCAATGTACATAACACTATTTTACGGTCTACTTGCACATAAAAATATTGAATCATTGTCCAAGGTCATTACAGACAATTCACAGTGAAATCTACAGTTTCGCAGCTGTTTCAGCCAAACAGCTTTCAGCTTTTCCACAGCTGAAAGTTCACAGCTCACATCTCACAGCAGCTTTTACAGAATCTGCAGCTCAACCAAACACAGCCTCAGTGTGTGTAGAGCTACTATCTACAGTATAATTTGATTTGATTTGTGCCCGGCCCGACCTCCCCACGATCGCTAAATATAAGAGCCACAGCGCCCCGCCGCCGCCGGTGACGTGCTGTTTGCGTTTGCCTACTACTTCATGAGGCGGCCTCACTCCTTTCAAGTCCTGACCGCCACCAAGGATGACATGAACACTTTGTGCCCAAGCACTGACTGGTCCTGGAAAAGCATGCCGGCACCCTTCGCTAAGGATGAAAAGATCGAATCCTACGCCCTTCACCCGGACGGACACACCATATTTGTGTCTTCGTACATCAACGACATCAACCGTGGCACCTTCTCCTTTGACACCAAGACCCGTGAGTGGAGGCGCCATGGGGAATGGATGTTCCCTTTCGTGCTTGAAGGCTACTTCGACGCCGACCTAGATGCATGGGTTGGGCTACACCCTGATGGCTACATCTGCTCCTGCCAAGTTCCCTCCCTCAGCAATAGCAGCAGCACATTGCAGCAGCCCAACTGGAAGATGGCCAAGGAGCACAGGATGTGGAACCCATACCATCAGTTGGCTAGAGGGCGAGGGCCTACTCTCACCTACATGGGCAACTCCAGATTTTTCCTTGTTGATTGTGTGGCGGCCGATGGTTTAGAGTTCCAGGATGCTTTTGGTGACTCTCGTGGCTGCGTGCTCAACATGACCACGTTTCATCTCAGGTACGATAGTGAGGGAAATCTGCGAATCAAAGACAGGAACACTACCTCTTGTCGTGTGTCTAAGCAACTCTCGACGTTCTCCCCTGTGGCGTTCTGGATGTAGCTACAGCAAAGGAAACTGCTCATGCGTTCTGGATGTAGCTACAGCAAAGGAAACTGCTCATGCTGTTTTTATTTATTTAGCTGTATGTCAGCTATGTTCATCATCCTATCTGTAAATTACTCCCTCCATTTTTCTATATACAAGGCCACTTTGTAAATTGGGTCCAACTTTGACCATCGATTTGAGCAACAAAATATATGTATACTCCACGCAAACTATGGGCATATAACATATAATTTTGTTGCTCAAATTGATGATCAAAGTTAAGCCCAAATTATGAAATGGCCTTTAGAAAAGAGAGGGAGTATGATTTGAATTAATAAAAAGCAAACCGTTTATTGTGTGGAACCTTTCGGAGCTCTTAATTGTTAATTCTGTAAATGCAGAAACCGTGTTTCAGCAACTTATGTTAATTTCTGTAATAATAAATATAGATGTGAGTTGGAATCTATTCTCTTGATGAATATAGCTGACATATTCTCATCTTATCGCAAACATTTACTAATTTATTATATGGACTGGAGAATGTTAATTCATGGTCGCTTCCTTTCCTTGACATGGTAATACGTACATTCTCCTGTCCATAAGTCCAAGAATAGGTTAAATTTCGAACATCTTTAGGATTCAGATTTGTGTTTCATAAAAGAACACAATCAGGTTTCGGACTCACTTTATGGAGAAGCTAACCATTGATCGATATGTAAACTCATTAGGATGCTTGTGTGAAGAATGCCGATAAAATAATATTTTACTCCCTCCGTCCCAAAATAACTGTCTCAACTTTGTACTAGAGCTTGAGACGCTTATTTTGGGACGGAGGGAGTACATGACATGGCTAATGCCGGGTCTACTTATTTACAATTTGCATTCTGTTAAAATGCAAAGAATTTATTTCTTGGCAACTAAATCATCCCATGTTTAGTTGCTTTTATGCATTACTGATTTACAATCAGTTGCCAAAGAAAGCCTTAACTAATTGTTATGCTAGTGCAAAACATGATTTAGCAGCTACTTTTTACACTACACATTTTGTGATAAGTTACTTGTTCTGCTGTTGTTCCATGTTCGTTAATTGTGCATCACATGTTCACATGTGCATCACATGTTCGTTAATTGTGCATCACATGTTTTGAACTAAGATTAGTTCAACCTTAATTCAAAACTGCGATACTTATTATGGATTGGAGGGAGTATTAAAGTTCATGCTCTATATCATGGTGTGTTCTCTTTTTGGTTTCATTGGTCATTATGTGTTTCTAAAGATCCTTTGAAGATCAATACCAATCTTTGTTTAGTTACTACAAAAGCATTCTGGCCAAATAAAAATCGACCAAGAGATGATAACAAGGAGATAGAAGTTGTCAATTTTGTGATAATTTGAGTCTTTTGATGATTTGTTCTTCCATGTCCAGTAAATGTGGTCCAGTAGCAAAACATTTTCTGTTAGATGCCGGGACTTCAGACTTCTCTTCTGAACTGATCCTCTTCTGCTGGCAATCTTCGATGCTTTTGGTGATAAATTAAAAGTTGGATCGAGAAAGGTGTTTTGGCTGAATTGTTGACCAATAGGAGTTCAACCATGTTGTGATGGTTGCCACCCCGATCTTTCTTTTTGCACTATTAACTCTGCATCGAACAAAGCAAGTGTCCTGGCACTGTCAAGCTATTATTCAGATCAAAGTTTCAGGTATACTCGCACACTTGGTTGCGGCCTCAGTTATATATATATATATATATATATGCATTTTATATTCAGCTACTTCACGGAATAATTTTGTATTGAAACTGTGACACTCACTGAGCTAGACAAATATGTATAGCAAACTTCTAGCCATTGAAGAGTGACGTTTCAACTTCCGAACTTTTAGTCTGCCTAGTCATTTTGTTTCTCAAGTCGCACAGGTAAGCCTGTGAGTTTACCTGATGTATTATGCTGGTTTTCATTGAAGTGCTATGGTAATTTCTGTTATTCTCTTTGCAAGTGAGAAGTAAAAAGAATGCACGGATGTGTGTACATGGAGGGAGAACAATATGCTATGCTTGGTTCTAGTTGTCCTGGGAGTAGTATAAATTTGGCCTTTATATATGCGATTTGTTCCTTCTCTCTTATATACGGCTTGCCTGTTTACTATCTGAACATGACACTACAGAGCCACTTTGTCTACAAGGACTTGCCAGGTAAGGTGCCAAGTGGGAATGTGGGATCCCGCCAAAATCCCACTTCTAATTCATTCTGTGTTTTCTAGCTCAAATTTTGTACTCCCTGAATCCGTGACAAGTAATATGGGTCGGAGGGAATACTAGAAATCGCAAAATGAACTAGAAGTGTGACTTTGGCGGGATCCCACTTGCATCTCTATTGGCAGGGGATGCTTGTGAGTTTGCTTGCTTGTGTAAAATTATTAATTCATTATTGGCACTTGCAAGCTTCAGTCGGTTATGACTTCCGATCGTTGTTTCTAGACCAAGAAAGTTCCAAAAATGTGTGACCTTGGGCTTCAAAAAATGAATATGCAAACAGTGAATTTTTCATTTTTCTATTGCCTGAACCATAACAAACACTCATCAAGTCTCTGAGATTTTCTATATCCTCTATGAATGCTCCGCTTGTTTAGTTTGTGGACTAAAATGCTTGGATGATTGTTTTTAGTGAAACAACCAAATAGTTATAAGGGATAGAAAATAGTAAGCTGCAAGAAACAAATCGTTGTCACTTAAGCACCAGAGTACTGATTTAGGTGACTAGCATGCAAATTAAGTAAGATTTATCAGTAGAACAGAAAAATCGATCATAGTACTGCTTAAGTGAAATGCCAGTGTTGGTTATCTGAACACTCTGAAGAATTGCTTGCAGAAGCAGTTTAGTGCTTAGTAAGTTGTTAAGAGTACAAATTTCTAGGCTTGAATAGTGGTTCATCTCCTAGTAAGCTGTTCTTTTTGCTAATTGTAGCTGATGAAAAAGTAACTTACCATAAATGATAGGAGCGCTGTTAGTATGCTGCATCACAAAGATATATGTCAGAGAGTCAGACCAGTGATGAAAAATAGTAAGAATTCTCTATGGCAAAATACATGCACAACTTGATAATGAAAGATCATTTGTATCGCTTGAAAAGTGAAGGTACGCTTTGATGTTCTTGCAAGTTCCACCCTCTTATAGTTACATATAAAGTTTTTTTCACTCGCAAGCAACAGAAAATCACGGTTCATGAATCTTCCTATAGGATGACAAGACTTGCTACTGAAGAATGATTTGATGGTAAGTAACTGATGACCATAAACTCAAGTACTTTAAATTGAAACAGGAACATCTGATGGTCGCAAATCCACATTCAAATTTAGGAGCTGAAACGGCATGTATTGGTTTAGATACCCCAAAAATGTACTTCCTCCGTTCCTAAATATTTGTCTTTCTAGACATTTCAAATAACTACTATATACGGATGTATATAGACATATTTTAAAGTGTAGATTCACTCATTTTGCTCTGTATGTAGTCACTTGTTGAAATGCCTAGAAAGACAAGTATTTAGGAACGGAGGGAGTACGTATTAAGGAACTCGATGAAGAAATATATTCTGCGGGGAAGAGAAAACACATTATACTCACTGACCAGGTTAGTGCGTGCATACCTTGCTACAGACCACTCTGGATTCCACGATTCTGGATGAACTGCAACAACAAAGTCATATGGTAATTCAAACCCTGATTGAATACAAAGGAAATTATAAGATGTGATTGGCATGATGCTCACAGTTACTCACCCATAAGCATATCCTTTTGTGAGGGTAAAACCTGCCACTGGGGGTTGTCATGCTGTACAACAAAGACAAAAAAAAAATCATTACTTTCAGATCTGCGTATTTCGTAATCAAACACAATAAGGGTGCTCTCTCGCCGTCTCGCAATAGACACGTCATCAGGGGTACTGTGTCGATCGGAGAGAAAACAAAAAGAGTAGGGTGCTCGATGAGTGAGGTGTTACCTGGACAAGTTTTGCTCGTCACCCCTTCCTCACGAAGCCGTGCATAGCTAGGGTTGGGGCCGCCGCCGCCTCCCGTCCAAGCTCCTTCGGGCTGTCCACTGGACAAGGCATTCTCAGATCCGCTTCTCCCCCAAACCTTCTGGTCTTCACGTTCCACCATGCCGCCATGATGGTTGCAGAGGAGGGGAGGAAGGGGATGGCATCGAGGTTCTGATGGAGGCCCTAGCTCAAGGCGGCGAGTTGCAGAGGTGCGGTCATTCCTCTCATTCTTTGGTCGTTCTATTTAAGATCTTGCCCCGTCCCTGAACTTGTTGTCAAACTCTTGGATATTTTAATTGGTGGCACTAACATGAGAAGTGAGGCCAACCAGCTTGTGAAGGGAGTCAATCTATTAGTTGCTACGCCGGGCAGGCTTCTGGACCATCTGAAAAGTACCGGTGGTTTCAACTACAAAGGGCTAAAGGTAAAGGCACTCTGGCCTCTATCATTTTTTCAAAGCTTCAAGGAAATATTTCTGTCGAAGTAGTGCGCATGTTTAAGTTAACATACTAAATAACAACAAATGCGCCCAGCAATTTCATACTTATATCTATTCTATTTGCATAATCAGTCACCTGGTTATTTCATATACTAACTTTTGTGTGCGTCTACAGTCTATCCTTTTTCTTGTCCAGGACTGGAAGTGTCTACCTGTTAATACTGAATTAGAGTATGTATGAAATCTCAGCCTATATTATTCCAAGTATATGCAAAATCGTGAAAGCTAATGGTTTCTATTTTTGCAAAGTTATTATTAGCTGTGTTACATGTTTTCATCTTCGTTGGTTATTACTGCCTCTGTCCCAGATTAACCGCAGTTCTAACACTATCCTAAGTTTACTATTTTAACTCTGACCAAGTGTACAGAAAAGAGTATCAACATTTATAGCATCAAATAGGTAGAATATGAAACATATTTCGTGATGATTCTAATGATACTTTTTTCCATGAATCTAAATTTGGCCAAACTTAATGGATGGCTAAGGACAAACCTAGAAATGCACTGATTTTGGGACAGAGGGAGTAGTTGCATTGGCAAGTCCAGTGGATATAAATGTTGTTTGTTATTCTGTAAACCGAATTAAGTGGGAACTAATTACAGTGGTAGAAGTGTTGGATCTGTTGATAAAAGTTCTTTTCCATAGCCATCACCAATACGAAATTCTGTTTTCTAATGAAAGGAACGTATAATTGCATTGTAAATATATTGTTGGGCAGGGATGGAATCGACCTTGTTGCCCACTCATACCTTGTCAAATGGCATATTTTGCCAACTCTGCTTGTCAGCCCACTGGAACTTGGCATATTTTGCCAACTCTGCTTGTCAGCCCACTGGAACTCCAAACCTTTGCTTGCATGCACATGTGCCATGGGTCACTAGTTAGCAGGAAAATGACATTGAATTACATGAAAATTGCTGTTGAAGGCAATGAATGTCATAACTGACCTCTCTATCTACCCTAATTTCTCTGACATAACTTACAGTATGTTGCAGTGCCTTATAATTGATGAAGTTGACCACATACTTGAGCAAAATTTCGAGGAGGACATGAAACAAATATTTACCTCCCTCAGGTATGTCATCATCTGGCAATTTCATTTCATATGCAAAGTGCAGCCTTTAACTTTCTGCTGGAATTGCTGTATTTTGTCCTGGAATTGTTATGCAGAATAGGTAAACTGTTCTCTTTTCTGCCACACAGGCTCAAAATGTTAGTGGATCTGTTATTCAACCTATTCAAACTTCCCCCAATTTCCCTGTCATCCCACAGGTTGAAGATATTGCAAATTTTACGTTTGGGAAAAAGAAATAAGGACACCGAAAACTTGTTTATGTTGGAGTAGATGACTTGACTCTGAATTAAAGGTATGGAACTGCTTCACCCTGCTGTTCAACTCTCTTTTAAAGAATTTTTGGTTTATTTGGTATGAGAAAACTGTGATGCTCTAGCAGCCTACCGTTGTAGTGCTGCAGCAGCGCTCTTCTTAATTTCACTTATTTGTCCGATATTAAACCTGTTAAGAATTATAATTATAATTGTAGAAATGCTGACAATAATGTTGTTTCTTGGCTTTAACTTGTCACAACAAACTAATTGTGCTTCAACATGGTAGTGAACCAAACAGCTTCATTCTTTATTTTCTTTCTTGTTGCAGATTTTGATTCAGCCTGGAGGTCCACAAACACTCATTCTTGTATTCAACAAACTGAGAGATGTGCATCTTTACAATAAATTTGCTGACTGCGATCTGAATTGGACCCTTTTATCCTTGAAGATGCACCTTCAATTCGGCCAGGACACTGTCGAGAGCTCAGGATACATACAAGTCGAGCTAATCTATGACGACCCAAAACTCTGCCAAGTAGTCTTGGATACTTGGTACTGTGAAAACCGCAATCATCTATAGCACTATGCTCCCTGGTTTTAAAGGCCTCACAGCCAATTGAGGACTCACCACAGGAATAGAGTGTCATGTCCTTTTGTACCCAAGAGGATTTGGAAGAGTGTTTGATAGCATATGAAAAACAAAGGGATTTAACAAAGAGGTTTGATTGAATGTAAATTTTCCTCCAAAATGTAGTACAAATGAATTCTACAGAAAAATTCCTAAGAATTTCAATCCTACGAATTAAACGAGCACCGTAGGAAAAAATTCTACAAAATTCATAGGAAAAAGCCCTGATTGTGTCGATTTGGATTTGGTCCCGTCTATTTTGACTTGGTCGTGGGCTTAGTCGGTCCCTTTGGCCAGCAGAGGAGGCTAGGTCGAGGCTTTCGCCTAGGCAATGGCGGGCCTTGCCGTCTTGGGTAGAACAGTGGCTTCAGTGGCAGTGGAGGCGCTGGACGGCGGCAAGCAGTTGGAGGCCTCCTCTCCTTCCCATGTGGTGGAGACAGTACGCACCCGACAAGCTCCACTACTTCCCGCATCGCTGACCGGAGGGGTGGGGAGCGCCGGCCAGGCAGGGGCGACGGGAGAAAGGGCAGAGAGACGGGAGGGTGGCGTGCAGGCGCAGATTGAATCATTTGTTCCCGGCCTTACGTATGTGCATGTAGGGTGAGCAGGAGAAACTGAGGTTATTGTTGATCCCATCCCCATGAAGCAACAGTTGGTGGCAAATTTGAAAAGCGGAAAGAATTATATGAGGATCAAGACCTTGATAAGGCAGTAATGGAGTCCAAGACAAGTCTGGAGATCGCTTTGAAGACAAGAAAGCTGTGCAAGGATTAGGTTCATTTCTTCCTCTTCCTGATAATGACAGTCATGCATCACATTGTTTTTGGTCGCTGATAAACAAAAGTGCATTTGGTCAATATTGACCCTCCACCATTCTAAGTATATAATTCTCTGGTTAGGCCGCTACAAGGTTGATGACTAACATGTAGAATAGCATAGCATAATGTCGGAATATCCCAAGAAATAAGTGTAATGTTTGATTTTGTTTCATCTAGGTTGTATTTCCCCCATGCGTTTAAGTTACTCCTGCAAGCAATTGTATCACTGCTCCCCCTACTTGAATAGATTCTGTAGTGCGCGAAATCAGAATGAGCAATTGGCAAGTAATTAACTCGGAAGTAGAACATCATCCTATTTATTCCAATAGATGGGGATTCTGCACTTCAGCTGTGCACGAGACGATTATTATCTGCATGTATGTTTGCTTTCATAATTTGGGACAGAACAGAGAAGCAATGAGATGACCGTGGCACCGCAGCCCTCCAGGAAGGTAGTATCGGATGCAAATTTGAATCCAAGGCAGCTGGCAACATGGGAACCTCCTCCAGCGGGTTGGACTGCCCTGAACAGTGATGGTTCGTATGCTGAAAATGATGGAACGGCGGGAGCTGGTATGGTCTTGCCTGACCCGGCCGGTGCTATTATCTATTCCTCTTGTCGGGAACTAAGACTGTGCTCCTCGCCTCTGCAATCTGAATTAGTTGCATGCCTGAAAGGCTTGAACATAGCGATTCAATGGAGTGATCTACCAATCATTGTCCAAACAGATTGTGTGCAGGCTGTTAAGCTTATTACCAGCTCAGATGAGAACCGGTCAACAAACTTGATGTTGGCGCAAGAGATCAAGGAGATTCTCAAAGGAGATAGAGAAATTTTAGTCAAGCATGTTAGACGGGAACAAAACTCGCTAGCCATTTTTTAGCGAACTTTGATAGAATAAAGAAGCGCACTGCGGTGTGGCTTCACTCAGGTCCTGACGAGGTACCTGCTGTTTGTAATGCAGACATCGCCGCCGCTTGATTAATAAATTCTCTTTCACCCCGCTAAAAAAAACAGAGAAGCAATGTGCTGGTACTAAAAGGTTCTAGCGCTATCAAAGCAAACGGCTGATGGCTGCACTGAGGCCTACAACGTGATAGCTAACAGCTGCGCTGATCTTGGCGATTTCGAGGGAGCAGCAAAGTTGTACGAGCTCATTGCTTTTCTGTACTGTCACAATCTTTGAATTTGATTCAAATTTAATACGCGAAGTAAAAAGGACCGAAGGAAGATTGCAGCCCTGCGATTAAGGCGCTTGGACGTTGTTGGAAATAAAACACTCAGCTTCTTGCATGGCCGGGTCCGTCTCTTTGACTCATTACGCGCGGTAGTACGGGTGGAGGGGTTGAGATTCGCTGATTTTACCGAGGCTGATAAGGCCTTGTCAGTGTTCCATCGTTTACAGGTAGCATGACACATAAGCAAAAAATATATGACACAATATAATAATCAAAAAGAAGAGAGCACTTCCATACTGACTGATGACAATGCCTCGCGATCTAAGCCCATGTACTTCATTAAAAGCATTAGAATAAATCTGAGGCATACCATGAATCATCCGAGGACCAAGCAATTATACGAGCACGCCATCAAAATTTGTTAACGAGGTTCACCGATATGGCTACATCCCCGGGGTCTGATTATGGGCGCTTCTTCCCATGACACCGCTACAATACCGCACCCGGTCGCCCTGGACACCGGCACATGACGCCGGCTTCTGCTGCGTTACTGTGCTATTATGTTGGCATATGTTACATCGTGTGTCTACCCCAGTATATATGAGAGGCCTAGGATACAAGTGTCCTACTAGGACACGACTCCATATCCTATTTAAACACAATACTACTCAAAGTCTGTTACGATCACACTTGATAGCTTGGCACAATCACAGTCGAATTACACAGGAATTGGAGGAATTTGTCTAGGGTTCATGGGATACAAGGAGAAAAGGGGATCAGGAGTGAGAGCCGTCGCCCGCCAGTGTCTTCTCTCCGCTTGCCTCTTCCTGGTGCCTGCTAGCTTAAGTAGTTAGGTCATCCATTCTAGGCCTCTGTATCGCTTGCTGGGCTTGCGGGCTCATTCATTCTTGTCTTGGGCTTGATCGCTGGTGTGGGCTGGTGTAGTAGTGGCCGCGGGTTGGGCCGTAACATTCCTCCCTTCTTGAGAACTAGCTTGCCCCCAAGTTGGAGCTTCTGGATAATGGTGTTGCAGCTCGTCGCGGTCCTCCCAGGTCGCCAGAGACGCCGGTTGATCGGTCCAGCGGATGAGCACTTGCGGGACTTGGGTTTTGGCCCGGCGGTGGAGACGAGTGCCCAGAATTTCCACCGGTTCGGGACTGGATGCTCCTTCAGCTGGTAATTCCTCCAGCGCCTGTTCTGATGGAGGAAGTGCTCGACGCAGTTGAGATACATGAAAAACTGGATGAATGCTGCACGGGGCGGGAAGTTGAAGCTTGTAGGCGACCTGGCCGACCCGTTGCACCACCCGAAACGGACCAAAATTGTAACATCCTAATTTTTCAATTTGGATGTTATACATAGATCATCATATGCATATCATATTTACTTTTGCATTTTGTTGGGATCCTAAAAATCTTAAGCAACTCAAGGACCCAAGGAGAGAGTTGGAGGTTTCACAAAAATTCATATTTGAATTTATTTCAAATTTGAAAAGAGGATCAATTTGATTTTATTATTTTTTCTCTCCAATTATTTCCAATATTAAAAATAAATGAGAGAAGATAATATGCCTTCTTCAACCTAAAAGAAATATTGGAGAAAGAATTTTAAAATCAAATTATTATTTATTGATATTTTATTTGAATTAGAAAAAATTTGCATTTTTAAAATTGCATTTTAGTCCAGAAAAATGTTCATCTTGTCCTAAATATTAGGTTTGGACAGAGAAAATTATTTTTGGAATTTTTAGAATTTTTTTATATTTATTTAGGATTTTTCCTTTGCAGCAATTTTTATTTTTTTTAAGTCTTTTCGGACCGAATTGGGCCGAAGGCCCAGCCAGCCCAGCTAGCGCCTCCGCCTTCCCCCGCTTCGTGCGAGAGCCAGACTCGCCGGAGTCCGGGTCGGCCGCGCCCCTCGCCGGCTTCGCCTCCAAGTCGGGGAGCCCCCCCGGGCCTTTATATACCGCCCGCAGCCGCCTCTCCACCCCACCAAAGCCGTCGCCGCCGCTCGCAGCCCCACTGCCGTCGGTCAAACCTCGGCTAACGGTATAAAATCGTTCGGTATTTTCCCCTTTTTTACGGTTTAGATCAGTTTATTTTTTAGATTTACTTAATTAACGAATGTTCATTCGTTCGTACGTTTTAACACACGGTTTTCGTCGAATTAGTTTTGTTAGCGAACGTTCGCGTCATAGTTTTTTCTTTTTAGTTTATTTTCGGCCAGGGACTTTGATACGTCTCCAACGTATCTACTTTTCCAAATACTTTTGCCCTTGTTTTGGACTCTAACTTGCATGATTTGAATGAAACTAACCCGGACTGACGCTGTTTTCAGTAGAACTGCCATGATGATGTTTTATGTGTAGAAAAGAAAAGTTCTCGGAATGTCCTGAAAATCCACGAAGGCACTTTTTGGAATTAATAAGAATTTCTGGGCGAAAGAAATACACCAGGGGGCCCACGGCCTGTCCACGAGACAGGGGGGCGCCCCCCTATAGGACGCGCCCCCTATCTCGTGGGCCCCCTGGACCTCCACCGACCTCAACTCCAACTCCATATATTCACGTTCGGGGAGAAAAAAAATCAAGGAGAAAGTTTCATCACGTTTTACGATACGGAGCCGCCGCCAAGCCCTAATCTCTCTCGGGAGGGCTGATCTGGAGTCCGTTCGGGGCTTCGAAGAGGGGGATTCATCGCCGTCGTCATCATCAACCATCCTCCGTCACCAATTTCATGATGCTCACCGCCGTGCGTGAGTAATTCCATCATAGGCTTGCTGGACGGTGATGGGTTGGATGAGACTTACCATGTAATCAAGTTAGTTTTGTTAGGGTTTGATCCCTAGTATCCACTATGTTCTGAGATTGATGTTGCTATGACTTTGCTATGCTTAATGCTTGTCACTAGGGCCCGAGTACCATGATTTCAGATCTGAACCTATTATGTTTTCATGAATATATGTGTGTTCTTGATCCTATCTTGCAAGTCTATAGTCATCTATTATGTGTTATGATCCGACA